ATCAATGCACGTGCGTTCATTGGCGTGTGCCACAGACACACACACACACACACACACACACACACACACACACACACACACGCGCAGAGCGAGAGAGACAGAGAGTGAGAGAGAGGGAATGGCGCACCCATGAGAGTCTGCCAAAGACACACGGAGAGAGAGAGAGAGAGAGAGAGAGAGAGAGAGAGAGAGAGAGAGAGAGAGAGAGAGAGATGGTGGTCTTAATTGCCCCTAGAAAGGCAAATTAAAACTTGAGGGATGCCCGTAGTGAGTCACTTTTAGGTTTGTGATAGGGGTATATTGCAAAGATAACGGGTCCAAGCTACGGGTATTTGGCAAACTTTCGAATTGTCAGAGTGAGATTTCACGATATCCAAATCTTTTAGGGGTATTTTTTCTTTTTTTTTCTTTTTTTTTTCTTCTATACTCTTCTCTCAACTTCTGTTTCTTTACCTTCCACTACCTACTCCTAAGACTATCTAGAGGGGACCCCTGCAAGCATAGTTTCCTCTCTCTGTGAAGGGGAGATTTCATGTTGCCGAGCCTTATTCTTTTGCAAATTTCTCTAATGAAAATAATGAAAAGTAAGTAACTGGCTGCTACGGGGTTACCCGTATGCCTAAAATTAGGAGTAGTGGTAGGTTGGTAGTGTGAGGTGAAATTGAGAGCAGAACAAAGCTTTTTTAAATTAAAAAAAAAGGGAAAATTTGTCTGGCGCCCCTGTAATTTGCATTATTTCGCGTCCCCCTCCGATGGCCGATTTACCCTATCGCGCCCCAAGGCCAAAAAACGTTTTCGGCAGGCCCTTGTGGGTAGTGACAGCAACTTTCCAGGACGCCCTCCTTGGACTGGCGGTCCCATTTCCATCGGGCCCTGTGCCATATGCCCTCATGATGATCAGCCATCTTTCTCCAATGCCCTGGCAGCCGTGAGGCGCCACAAATTCGCATTTCCATAGGGCCCTGTGCCATATCCTCCTTTTCCCTGCGAGTGTATGTGTGTGTCTGTGTGTTTGTGTGTGTGTGTGTGTGTGTGTGTGAGAGAGAGAGAGAGAGAAAGGGTGTGTTGGTGACTTCTCTCTCTCTCTCTCTCTCTCTCTCTCTCTCTCTCTCTCTCTTCCCCCCCCATTTTTCTGTACAACGGTCCTCCTGTTCC